TTAAGATTTTGGATGTTGCTCTTCCTGTACATAAAAGAAGAAATGTTCATTTTTAGGTCGTCATCAAATGTCAGAGCTTTCCTCTGATTGGTGGAGGTCTGAAGGAACATTGCCTACATCAAGACAGCTGGTCTTCATCCTCCACAGAGCTTTGTTTGGTTGTACGAATATGTCGACTTCTAAAGTTATTACGAACAAGAGTTATAGTTTCAGCTTAGCAGGTCGTTGTTTTGGCTGGATTGTCTTCTTGTGCCCTTTCTTCTTGACAGATCTCTGTCTGGTGACACTTCTGGGTCAGTTTGATCAATTTCCTCCTGGGAGATCTCTGGCTAGTTTTGCCTATTAGGATGAAATTACAGCCACTTCATCCACTAGACTCAAGTGAAAATGGCTGTCCATCAATAGACTTAATGGCTCTTTCTTTCTGCCCTCTGCCACCTGCTGGAGCGTCAGACTAAATGTGTCTGTATGAGTTTACTAGCATCACAGTGTTAATGTGAATGCATGATTAGGCTTGTCTGAGGTGTGTCTAAACATTCCCAAGCTTCCACTGCCTGGGCATTCAGCCTAAAGGGACAGCTGTCATTAGCATGCCCTTTGCGAAAACCCTCTCATCCTCATGACGGAGAGTCCCAATGACATCACGTAGCTTTGAAGAAGTCCGGCCAAACTTTTAACCAAATGCTGTTATTACAGTATGTCAACAGTTACTACTAGGCAAATGATTGAAGCATCTGCCTTAGAAATTAACTGAGAACATCTGCTTTTGCAGATTTTGAATGTTGAATAATAATAATAATAATAAAGTGCTATGTGTTGTCATCAATGTATGTTCCCATACAAAGATGAAATTGGCTCGCTGCATTTAAGCCATTGCACCTGGGATGCACCCAGGTGGAGCAGTGAGCAGCTGTATAGGCTGCCCGGGAACAATTCAGGACAGGGTGTCCTGCTCAGAGACACCACAAGATGTGCAATGACTGGGGATTGAACCCTGGACCTTCGGGTCCCAAGTCGGCTGCCCTGCCCCTACACCATCTCGGCCCCTAACCTGATGAGATAGCTAAGCTCAAGTCCGTTCTGTCCAGATCCGACCTTGAAAAATTAGTCCATGCATTTATTACAACCCGGCTGGACTACTGTAACTCGCTTCATGCTGGGGTCAGTCAGGTCTCTCTCACGTCTCCAGCTCGTACAAAATGCTGCAGCTCGGCTACTAACAGGAACTCACAGGTTTGAGCACATTACTCCAGTTCTGTCCTCTCTTCACTGGCTTCCTGTGCACGTCAGAGTTGATTTTAAGATTCTTCTGCTGACATTTAAGTGTCTTAATGTCCTTGCACCCTCATACCTCTCAGACCTCCTTCATCCTTATACTCCTTCTCGGGCCTTGAGAAGATCATCAGACCAGCTGCTTTTGGCCTAACATGCATGTTTTTGGTCTGTGGGAGGAAAACGAGTACCTGGAGAAAACCCATGCATGCACAGAGAGAACATGCAAACTCCACCCAGAAAGGCCTCTGGACCGGGGTTTGAACCAGGGACCTGCTCGCTGAGAGGCAGCAGCTCTACCAGTTGCACCACCGTGCTGCCCTATTTAGTATTTCGTTGTTTCTAATTAATTTTCATGTTTTTATGCTTTTATTCATGTTGCTGTAATATCTTGTTATTAATATTTGATGTCGTGATCTTTTTTGTTAAGCACTTTGATAACAGTTACTGTTTTAAATGTGCTATATAAATAAATGTGACTTGACTTGACTACTTTATTAGCATCCAAAAGTGGGGGTTAGGGCTAACTTTACACAAACAACAACAATATTTTTATGAGCCGAGATGCTTACAAAACTAAGGTTAGCTGTGAAAATGTTATGGAAGAGGCTAGGAATGAAAACGAGAGCAGAAATAGAAACTCCACTTTTTATTATTGACTTTAACGTTAGCTCTGCAACACAGCTGGCCACCACTGGATATAAAAAGTAGCAATGTAAGACGTGGAGGATTCTTTCTGTTCTATCGTGGAAAAAAAAACATTGTTTAGTGTACAAAGTATTATGGTGTGTCTACGTCAGTGTTTAAATGGACTGTACTTATTTAGCTCCTTTCTATCTGATCAAGACACTCAAAGCTCTTTACACAACAATCTGTGCCTCATTTACCCGTTCATACAGCACTCTACTATACAAAGAATAACCAGAACATTATCACATGCACTGATGGGACACACATCAGAGGCAGTGAGGGGTTCAGTGTCTTGCCCAGGGACACTTCGGCATGTGACTGCTGGTGGAATCGAACCCCCAACTCTTGCATTGGAGGACGACTGCTCTAACCACTCAGCCACATGTAAATGTAGATTAAATACTGGCAATTAATTGCCTCTGTGACAAGGAGTCTTTAGGGTTCCTAAAAAGGGTTAAAATATGCTTTCAAGATACAGAGAAAGTGTTTAGTGTTAGATTTCTTCTCAGGTTGTATTATTAGTGTGTTATTATATATTATTAGTCTTGTAAGGACCAGATTATTTATGTTAAAAACCCTTGGAAAACAAGGATCACATTTTTTTTTACACATTTCACGTTTATAGATCATGACAATATTATTGATTTCCATGGCTAAAGTCAAGAAGACAAAAAAAAACTAAAACAAACAAAAAGAGTGCGTATTAAAATTACTCGTCTATTTAGAAGTAGCTGAAAATCACAGGTTGTGATTTTTCTCTGTTAGTAGCACCAAAAGTTTATGATGTTTGGATGTTCAAAATAAAAAGGGTTTATTTACTTAATTTATTTTTTATTAGGGCTAACACTGATCTGCTTTTGTCAAGGGATCTTCCACATCTGAAGGAGGTTTCTGCCGTAAGCTGAATCAACGGATGAGTTGGATGAAGACATGTCATCCACTGGATTCAAACAGCTGCTCATCAGAGAAGAGAGGGATACAGAAAGAACCATCGCAGAACCAAGAGAAGGTCATGAAAACCCGTCAGGACTCAGCTTCACGGGGTCAACACTTCAACACTCAGCTTCAATGAAACCTTACCTGCAGGAGATGGACGAGTTACTGAAAGGCTGCGAAGAACTCACAGGTATTCCCTTCAGCTCGTGCAGTTCGGTGGGTAACAGCGAAACATCTACGAGTGAACTGAGCTGCAATCGCAACAAAGAGGAGATCAGAATGGAGAGCTATGGATGTGCCTATTCGTCCACTAGATACATCGACACACGTACTGATGGGATTGAAACAGAAGGTGAGACAAAAGGCCAAAGCTTGGTCAACCACATCAACAGGTGTACAGTTGGTCAGCGCACAGAAATGCCCCTCTCCTCAGCTGGCAACAAACTGAGGGCCAACATGTTGGAGTATGAGGACCAGTTAATGGGGATGTTAAACATGCTGGAGAGCTGTATGGAAGAGTCTGGCATGGACTTTGAACCTGAAGATAAAGGTCAAGAATATGTACACATCAGTAAGATACCTTATCATGTGAAGGGCACAACACCCGTGTCCTTTAATCCACTAGAGCTGGAGACCCAGCCAGTGCTGCCTGAGCTCTGTTCCCATGGAGGTAATGTTTCAGACGAGAGCAGGGCCTGCTCTGAGAAGACGAGTGACCCCTCTGGGAAGAGACCAGAGAAACCAGAGGAGCAAGGTCACCTCAGAACAGATCAGGGATCTGGCCTGCAAGCTGATGACACAGAACAAGATCCAGCGTTCAGTGAGGAGATAAAGTCAGGACGTACGTTTGAAGAAAGGGACGCTGATGACAAAGAGCTGCCAACTGAAAAGGAGCGTGATTTCAGCACAGATCTGGGCTCTGACACGGATGAATTAAGAGCTTTGGGATCTCGGATGGAGGACTGCATGGAGGAGGTGCAGCAGTTACAGAATAAAAGGAAGCAGCTGCTGGTGGAGGTTCTGCAGCTGAGAGGAGAAAGAACCGAGGAGGAAGAGCAGACTGCGGAGTGGATCAACAGCAGAGTTGTGTCCCTGATGAACGTTCTCCAGAGAGAAGAGGAGGTAAGACGGGGGGTGAGGAAGAGGGACGTGTATTGCCTCAGAGAGGAAAGAGCAGAGGAGGAGAAGAAGCTGTGGAAGGTGAACCTGGAGAGACAGGGCCTGCAGGAGGACATCAGGAGGCTGAGGAGGAGGCTGTTCGCAGTGGCCAGAGACTGGACTTACAGCCAGGCTGCACTGAACAGTCAGCGTGGTGAGGTGGAGTTACTGAAGAGAGAAGAGGTAAAACTTCTCAACCATCAGTCAGTGTTTCCAACAACATGTGACACTGAACATAAACGGCACTTCCTCTTATTCTGCAGGAGGCTTTGGACTCTCTGATGCTCCAGCTGACAGCAGAGAGCGGTCAGTTCCGGTCTGCTCACCAGCAGCAGCTTTTAGGCCTGCAAGCGAAACTTCACACCAGGAGCTGCGGTCGGACCTCCAGCACTCAGGAGGAGCTGAGCGAGTGCAGGAGGCAGTCCTGCAGCAACATCCAGCAGTATCTGCAGGAGGAGCAGAAAGCTCTGGAGGACAGGTGCTGTCTCCATGTGCTTCTTCAGCAGGTTGTGTCGGTCCAGTTCGAGATTTTCAACCACAGATCAACATTTGTCAACTCAAAAATGTGAAAACCTCAGACATTTACAGATATGGAGCTAAAACTGGATGAGGTAGCTGAGAGTCATTCACAACATCCACAGAGTGTGACATCTCACAACATTGTGTGTGGTTTTACTTTCTCTTCTTCTTTCGGCTGCTTCCTTCTTCAGGGGTCGCCATGTCGCATGAAGACTTGTCATTTATTTTTACACCGGATGTCCTTCCTGACAGCCACAGCCCTCTGCTGCTATCTACGGTGCCAGGGGGAGCAGATGGTGGAGGTTAAGGGTCTTACTTAATGGCCTAGAGTGAGGCAAATGAGGGTGGAGGCAGGTGAAGATGCTTCACCTATCCCACTCACATTTTGGTGTTGTCGGTACCGGGAGTTGAACCGGCAACCGGGCGACGTTCCAATCCCAGGTCCACCTTCTCTAACCTCTGCTCCACCACTCCCTCTGTTGTACGAGATTTTACATGAAGTTTTGTTTTAAGTTTTGACCAAAAGGACAGTAGGTAGAGCTGCCGCCTCTCAATAGGAAGATCACTCTATCGAATTCCAGCTGGGAGTCTTTCTGGGTGGAGTTTGCATGTTCTCTCTGTGCTGCGTGGGTTTTCTCCAGGTGCTCTGGTTTCCTCCCACAGACCAAAAACATGCATGTTAGACTGACTGGTAACTCTAAATTGTCCCTAGGTGTGAGTGAGAGAGTGAATGGTTATTTGTCTCTATGTGTCCCTGTGATGGACTGGAGACCTGTCCAGATGTCCCTGTGATGGACTGGAGACCTGTCCAGATGTCCCTGTGATGGTCTGGAGGCCTGTCCAGGGTGTCCATGATGGACTGGAAACCTGTCCAGATGTCCCCCATTTCTCACACAGTGACTGCTGGACATGGGCACCAGTGAACCCCGCAACCCAAAAAGGAAGAAGAGGGGAAAGATGATGGATGAATGGATGGATGGTTGGATGGATGGATGGATGGATGAATGGATGAATGGATG